GAATTGATTCGTTTACTTAATTGTCCTAATTTCATCCGCAAATGGGAGATGGTCGAGTGCTATGGTAAAATTGAAATTAAATATATATAGAATAGCAAAATGTGTTTGGACATGATTAACACGTTAAACGTTATGGCAGTCACGAGTGACTGTCGATATCAAATTTAAAACATTATGTACTTGTGTGTAAATAAATTTTAAATAATTTGGCAATTACAAAAGAATGTACCTAAGTATTACACTCGTTATCAAACAAAATTGTGATGAGGATTATTAAAACACGGTTGTCGTAGGTTTCTCAGAGCGTTATAGCGCAGGCTAAACGGAAAGAAAGGCAAAACGGGCTTGGCGCTCAACGTGTTAAGGAACAAATAAAGGAATGTGCGCCGCCAGAATTGCTGGAGAGAAGAATATTTTTCAACAGAATAATGCCGCAGAATATACTGAAAAAGTAGTAAAAAAAGTACATTGCTCGAGAAGAAATTCGCATTTTGGATTGGCCGGCAAGGTCACCCGATCTTAATACCATTAAAAATTGTTGAGGAGATTTTGACCGAGCTGTACCGTAATTTCTCCGACATTGTCCTTTAGCTTGGAAAAAAAATAGACAACTTCGGAAGAGGAGATACAATTATTCGAGCCTCGCGACTAGTTCTTATAATTGCAAGACTCGAATAATCGTATCTCCCAAGCTCCTGTTCCCAAGCTGAGGTACAACGTGACAGAAATTACTGTATATGGAAATGACAGACAATTTGGAAAAATTGTTGATTTAAAAAAATATGTTCAGGATGAGTGGGAGCAACTACAATAAAAAGTATTAAAAAACTCTATAAATCTTTGCTGAAGAGAATGATCGCAGTTATTAAATGGAAAGGAGAAGCCGCAAAATATTAAGCATTCATTTGTTCATTTATTGCTACACATACTTTTTAGTTAAACGTGCCATCATTTGTCCCAAAGTATAAATGCTGGATGCATTCGCGTGAGCCGAATCCTGTCGTAAACGGATAATGAGAATCGAGCTTAACACGCCATTTGTAGAGAATCTACCCTAAATATTTCCATAAAATCAAAGTAGAAGAGAACTGCCATAAATCGGACACTTTTATTTACGACAAAATAATAAAAAGACTGAACGATCTATCTATATAATTCTAGTTTGAAACATTCAAAAGATCAGTCGTTTTACTATAAAAACGCAGGGTATAAATGAGATTCTCCTACGTTTACTTGATTTCGTTACTTGACTTTTGTTTGAGTTGAGATTGTAAAAAATCTCGTAATCTCGTAATTTAAAAAAGAAAACAAACTGGCGCACGTCTTTTAGTATTTCGTGTGGGAAGTCAAATGGCACTATTAGTTTTTTTAATGCGTTTTCAAGGTTATTTCAAGCTCACCTTGTTTCGTGTTATCATAAACCTATATTTTTTATTTTGGAATCGTATTCTACGTTCCATATACCAAAAATAGAATGTTTCAAATGCAACGTACATCTACGTTTAACGCCAAGTGCAAACTGTTTTATAGAATTTCGCGCGTAAGCTTTCATGCACAGAAGTGCAAACATTGTAAGCCGTTGTTACTTTAAAGTTACAAAATATGATTCCGAAATAAAAAATATAGGTTTATGATGAACAAAAATAAGATGACTTTGAAATAAGAAAAAAGAAAAAATATTACTTTCAAGAGTACAACAAATTACTTGTCTGCCATAGTTACGTATTAACCCTCGGGTGGCGGATTGCTTTTACAACTATCCAATTGACGATGTTCATGACGATTCTCAGCTGTATTCATCAATTTTACGAGGCATATTTTTTAAGATATTTCATGCAAATTTATTAGTCTTTCTGTTGTTTCTTAATAGTATAACACCCATTTATTTCGCTGATGTACAGAAAATTGACTAATCAGATGAGATAATTTAAATAACATCAGTCAAAATGACCCGGCAACCGCAGGCCGGAGGTTAACTGGTAGTGGCTGCAATTACCTGTGATTAGATATTGATAATATACTTAAAAAGCCAAGTATAATCTTGTTACAAAAAGATTCACAAATGTTTGGATAACAATAATGTCTCAGTCATGATAGTTCTACCCTAATTTAATCAATGAAACTGGAGAAAGTAAAAATTTATCACAGAGGGGGGAGGCTACTTCATTTCCTTTACATTCCAAACATCTTTAGTAGCATGCAGTTTGTTCCGACGTATTAAAATAATTATGAATTTTGAATACTTGTGGAAAATAAATGTCACCCATATATGACCGACGCGGCACTAAACGTTGAATCGCGATAAATACAGGGTATTTTAGGGTTATACCGACAAACTTTAGACATGAAGTTGGACCACAAAACAAACGAATTTTTCTTGCGTAGGTTGTACTCGCAAATGCTTCCTTCCAGAAATATTTATTATTACTAAAGTTCTAGTACTTTGTAATGTATGCTATCGAAATACATCAGGTTTATCACATACAGTGATGTGCATAATTATTAAATTGCGGACTTGCGTGCAAAATAAAAATTGTCTGTACTAATCGCAATAAATAGAAGTCGAATGGAACGTTCTTCCTTTCTTTAATAATTCGAACATATTAGCAATAATACGTTGGCATTTGAAAAGTCTTCTAATACGTTTACTACTTCAAATTGCAACCACTGAATTCTGTTATAAACGCATAAATTCCGCAGTTTAATGATTATAAACTCAAAGAAGTTTTTACATTGTTAACGATACCTAAACGAAAACTTAACATATCATCGTATTTGTATATTTCTATATAATAAATACTACAAAATTGACTTATACAAATACGATATTTTGTTAAGTTTTTGTTTTAAATATAAAGGGTGTCACAGCTAAAGGAGGCCACTTACAGTGCCGTGAATAATTAGAAACCACAGTAACTTTTACATTTTTACCAATGCTCAAGCAAAAATTAAAAAAAATTATATATTGGGTCTACCGGAAAGTTCTGTCCGATAGTGTCACTTCAAATTTCAATCCATATGCACATGTTGATTTGAGATATATATGATTATCTCTCTTTATCATTGCATTTACACGCATGTACTCTCCTAAATAAACTGAAACTAAGATGTCTCATGTCATTATTAGGTGAGACGCGATCGTGATAACATGGCTACCGATGATAATGCCAGAACACATGCTGCTTTGGCGACTCGTCAGAAAATCGCAAAGCCAGGCTGGGAAATTCTGTCACATCCACCATACTCTCCAGACCTAGCACCCTCCGATTATCACTTGTTTCTCTCTGCAAAACTTTTGACAGGAAAAAAAATTCAAAACTGAAGCTGATGTCAACCAAGCACTAGTTGAGTTCTTCGCCTCTAAAACTAAATCATTTTTTAAAAATGGCATTTACAAGTTGTCATCACGCTGGCAAGAAGTCATAAGTAACGATGGAAAGTATATTCTACAATAAATATTATTAAATGTATGAAAATTGTATTATATTTCAATTCAAAAACGGACAGAACTTTCCGGTAGACCTAATATGTATATTATTGTGGCCAATTGAATATTATTAATGTTGAAATATACAAATTTGATGTTTTATTTTGTTTTTGATTAAAAATCACTAAAAACGTAAAAATTACTTTAAGCCTATAGTTATTCCAACTACTGAATATTATTGGAGAAAATTGTCCTATATATTATTAAAGGTAAGTGTAATTAATACATATGTTGTCCAAAATGACAATCTCCAGTTTTGGAGACAAGCATTGCACCAATCAATGACAGGAGAAGTGGCTGATTGGCATTGTAAGACATTGTATGTCTTTTATGTTGTCATTTTATTACACGCTTGCACCATTCTGAATTGTAATGTTTGAATGTTATTAACAGGTTTTATCATTGATAGATGGAATGCTTGTTTCCAAGTCGTAGATAGTCATTTTGGACAACATATGTAATAATTTCAGTTATCTTGAATAATAGAATAACAATTTTCTTGAATAATATTCAGTGGTCGGAATAATTATAGACTCAAATCACTAGTCTGCGGATCTTCATGCAAAATAAAAATCGTTTAACCTCATTGTAAGAAACGTAAACCTCATGAAAAAATGTCTACTCTATTTCAATCTCTTGAAAGAGTTGTACATAATATGAAAATATTCTCAAATCCCTCCGACGTCTTCATAGTTTTTTATTAGACCTAATCATTTCTGTCAGAAATCCATAAAATCCGTAGTCCAGTAATCACAGTTATCTTTAGTAATCAATACAACAATTTTGTTCAGTAGTATACGTAAGAATTATTATTATTATCCAATTATTTCGATAGCGTAGATTATTAAGTCCTGCAACTTTAGTAATAAATATCTCTTGAACATTAACGAGTATACTTCCAGAGGAAAAATTTATTTGTTTCACGATCCTAAATCCACATATGTATATAAAGTTGCCGGTTCAACCCTGAAACACCCTGTACGGACAATTACGAGACACGCGTCGAGTGTCTTATTCTCTCATCGAGCACCCTACAGGTTCGGCGACGAAAGGAAAAACGCGTGGAGGTTCTAGGCGCGGAGCGGTTATTAAATTCCGTGTCCGCGGTGGAACGACTCGCGTAAACGAAACATTAAGCGCCCCCCCCCCCCCCGCCACGGGCTCGGATGGGACGGGATTAATGAAAACATTCACGCATCATTCATTAGCGGAATGAAATTGTCCCCGGTCGCGTAGGCGTCCGCCCCGCTGCCGTCTCTGCGCGCCCCTCACCACCCTCCATGTCCCTCCGCGCCGCTCCGCGCCCCTCCGCGCCCCGCCGCGCAGCCCCGCGCCTCGACCCCAAGGATCACGCGGCATCCGCTGAACTTCTGGTCGGCGAGACCTCTCTCGTCGAGAGAGAATCTCTCGGATGGTTCGAGGTTGGTCCGGGTGGCGCTGCCGTCTGCTCTGGTAGGGATGCTCGGGGGTGGTCGGGGTAGGTCGGCAGAACGAGACGATGTACGTGCGAGGGAGGGAACGGAGCGTCGAGATAGTCGACGAGGACGCTGGGTGGTGAGTGCCACCTTTTCGGGTACTCCTAGGTCCTACCGTCAGGACCAAGGGGCTTGTTTCTTTGGTTCTCGCGTTCCTCGAGGGAAACAAGAGAAGGACAGATCGATAAACCGGCGTTCGAGCCACAGGCCACGGCGTGTTCTCTCGGTTGGCTCGGCTGTGGTGCGTGGGTGCGGGTGCGAGTGCGTGGATCCTCTGTTTTCTCGCGTGCATCAGGACCGAAGGACCGAGGGAGGCTGTCGGAATCTCGCGGGGTGCGGCCACGACGATGGTGAAGGCCCCGAGCGTGGGACCCTCCGCCGGGCCCCAGGGGAACAGGAAGACCCAAACTGGCCCGGAGATCGCGATTAATCCGAGGAACTTGCAGGCAGAGTTCTCGGTTCCAACCCCGGGCATCCGAGCAGATGGCAATTCCTTCGGCAAGACCACCGCCGTCTATCATCCCCAGGTATCAGGATTTTGGCCAGCAGAAGCGTTCCGTGCTGTCCGCGGACCTTTTGTCCGCGTTCGGCCATTCGTTCCTCCGAATTTCTCGGGTCCGTTGACCTCTTTGTCCCCCGAAGTTTGTTTTGATAGCTCAATTCTCTCTACCTCTTTCTCCCCGTCTCTCCCTCTGCCCCCTCTTTGCTCCCTTTTTCTTTTTCTCTTTTCCGTGCCCTTCCAACCCTCGCACGCCACCCTTTTTTTTGTTTTTTTTTTTATTCTTGCGTCGCGGGAAAACGGTTCGACGGTAAATATTTAGACACCCCGAACGGCTGATAGCCGTTTCCGTCGCTCCGGTGCACCGACAACCTCCTGCTAATGCGTTTCGTTGTTTACGCGTGGACATTCGTTCAGGGGGGTGACGGTTCTTTCCGAACCATGGTACTACGGTCTATTTCATTAGCGACCAATTGCCGGAACCCGATGGTCGAGGTTTGACGAGTGCTTATCTACCTCGAACGCTATTCTTTTGTTTGTACTGTCGTGCTTCGGATTCCTTTCCGACCGCGGCTTTATCGAACACTTGTTTCCGCGTTTCGATGACTGCCCGACGAAATTCGTTGTACTATGTCCAATGACTATCGTTTGTTTTCTGCTCTCCTTGCAGCCCCTTCTTGTTCCTTTGGGTTTTAGTGTCGCATCGACTGCAAGGTCATTGGCGACAGGCTCTGTACAATTGTGCGTGAAATTTTTCGGCTATATCGTTTGGTACAACTGAGTTTTTCCACGGATAGCTTAACCCGCGGAAGGTCGACCATCCGTCAGGACGCAGGAAGCCGATCTAGGGTAGTTTTGGACCCGCACTAATAAGTCACCTTAACACGTTCGCTATCAGCGTCACACATGTGTGACGATCACGATTTTATGTTTCACGCAAGGAACATGAAATTTATTTTATGATATAATATATTGTACCGTAATATGTATCGTATTGTAATATTATTTTATTTCGGCATTTTTATCATAGTTCATATGATGATACGATGTATTTCATACGATAAATACTGTAAGTATAACTATGAGTCCCAATGACGCTGATAGCGAATGTGTTAAAAATGGTTTTTCGGTTAATATAATAAAAAGAATGTAAAATATGGGAAAATTATTTTTTGTTCGTCAAAATAAAATATTATACATGTAAAGAATAGGTGAGATAATAAAAAGAATGCAAAATATGGGAACATTATTTTTTGTTCGTCATTGTCACTATTATATACTTAATAGTAGTTTCTTAACAATATATTTACGGAGCACTGAAAACAGCTGTTTTATGTTAATTTAACTGAAAGTTGCGATAAGATATTTATCGTGACTTTTAACGTGTGTTGTTGCAATGTTTGCCGAATGTAATATGTGGAATCGAACAGATAACTCGTAAATGTATCTTTGCAATCTGAATAATCGTAAACTAAAGAATTAGTGAGCCGTCATTTTGACGGATTTTGTAAATCTAGTGTTAAAGCGGCACTTTGCTGTTCGCCTCTATGCTGAATACAGATAGGAACTGCGTTTAGTGAGCGTAACATTGTTTACATACTTTAGAGATTAAATGTGATCCAGGGTTGGCAGGCTGAGGGATAAAGTGTCTATGACATGGTCTTCGGAGGTCAGGGATGTGTCCGGGTAAATTTCATATTTCCGGCTCCGCAGGTTAAATCTGTTGCATTCGTGCAGTAAATGGGCTGTTTTAACGGTTGGTTGCACGAGTTGCAGGTCGGTGGGTAAGATGTTTGCAGCAGATATTCATGGGTGATCCTCGAGTGTCCGGTTCTTTTCTTTAAAGAGCCTTCTCTTTATTCGATCGCTTTCGCAGTAGATCAGATTAAGGTTCGTTTCAAAGTTGTCCATGTCACTTTGCACCGAACGACCGTTCGTGTCCACGTACTTGATCTTTGTTTCAGCGTAACGCAAACAAAGTGCACGCTTTAGCCGTGAAAGTGGGAGAAGCTTTTGCCGTTTTTCTTCTCGGTTTTTCATCTTTCCAGTTTCGTTTCAGCGCGTGCTCATTATCGTTAATTAACGAGGCGTGCCGCTGTCCGTGAAACATTTTTCATCGGAATTACATAATTATCGAAGCTGAAAACTGTAACAACTGTCTGCTAAAGTAGCCCTCATTATTTCTTTCGTCGCGAGTTAATCCGATCGTACGCTTCGATTCTTCCGAAATTCCCGGTTTAACCATTCTCGGACAGCGGGCGATGGCTTGGTGAATTCTGACTCCTACGGCTATTCCTAGTTTGCTATTTAATGACATATATAGTTTTAATTCTTGCGTGTGCGTAAATATGATTACTACGGAGGAATATAAAAGCAAGATGCTGTGCACGTAAATTCGAAAGACAAACAATTTTTACAATTGTCACAAAAATTACTATATTTGTTTTGATATCCCGCACAAATAAAACATCTAGCTCGTGCGTTTGTTTTTTTATTATACTACATACATTACACATAATGTAATATATATAATAAAGCGTAAAAGAAATAACTGTATGTGCTAGGTATTTTAAT